CTTTGACCTTGAAGGTTAAATTACTGAATTTTCTCAGATTTGAGCATTAAATGACCAAAATTATATATTTATTGGTGTGTGTGTGTGTGTGCGTATATATATATATATATATATCATCATCATCACCATCATCATCATCCTCATCAACAACAACAATAACAACAACAACAACAGAAATTGCGTAATGTTTCTATTGATGGAAATTGCGTAATGTTTCTATTGATGGAAATTGCATAATGTTTTTATTGATGGAAATTGCGTAATGTTTTTATTGATGGAAATTGCCTAATGTTTCTATTGATGGAAATTGCCTAATGTTTCTATTGATGGAAATTGCCTAATGTTTCTATTGATGGAAATTGCCTAATGTTTCTATTGATGGAAATTGCCTAATGTTTCTATTGATGGAAATTGCCTAATGTTTCTATTGATGGAAATTGCATAATGTTTCTATTGATGGAAATTGCCTAATGTTTCTATTGATGGAAATTGCCTAATGTTTCTATTGATGGAAATTGCCTAATGTTTCTATTGATGGAAATTGCCTAATGTTTCTATTGATGGAAATTGACGAATGTTTCTATTGATGGAAATTGCCTAATGTTTCTATTGATGGAAATTGACGAATGTTTCTATTTATAGAATTGTGTGTTTATGTTCATATATATATACAACATAGATAAACAAAACTAATGTGACAAGACAGACCAACTAAATTTATAAAAAGGAAACGTTAAGATATGTTCAAACCTTTCTATGTTTGCGTTTAGAAAAAGTATAAAGTCGAGCGTTGCCCCCGCCCGGCGGTGGCTCTTGTTAACCTAATATTTCAAAAATTTCTCAGTCTATGGCAGCTAGGGGACACCCCTCCCAGGCCCACCCCAATTACATATATTTTCTTAATTTCATATCATCTAAATATTTACTGAAAATTAGTTTACACATATTTAGGCGAAAGTACATTGCCACTCATAAGATGAGCTATAAAACACATTAATTATAATTTTTGTCACATGAACAAGATATTGGCCCTATCTTCAAACATGCACAATTTTCGCCTGTTGCATTATTTTGTCAAAAGTGTCCACCTATATGTCAGCCCCCCAACCGCCCCCCCCCCCCCCCCCCCCCCCCGCCAAGAAACCATGTTCTGTATCCGCCCCTGAATATTTTAGATATGACAGTGACCAGAGCTGCATCAGTACTAAGGGTGTAATACTTAAGTACCAGTACCAGTACTTGGCAAATTATGCAGTACCATTACCAGTACCAGTACTAGATTTTAGCTCGGTACTGCAGTACCAGTTCTTTTTTTGGTGAAGTAATTAAGTAGCAGTACCATTACTTTTATATATTCATCAACATTTGAATAAATACACAGTGTCAAACAAATAATTGCAAATATTATTCAGCAAAGAAATAAAATCATAATTTACTTTAAAGTTAACATAACATTTTTGCAACTTTATAGTTTTTGCAAACAATATTTACAACATATATTCATGTCATATTTGATGGTTTAGTAACCAGTCAACTGTAATACAATGCAATCATCTTTCATTTAAAACACAACAGTCTTTTGTTGCCTTTCACACCTTCACACCTCTGTTCAATTTATACCAAAGTAAATAACAATTTTTTATGGTGCTAACAATATCACTTGAAATAGGATTATTTAGAACAGAAGCAATTAATTAGTGATTATTTTGCTCTTTTACTATTAAATACAAAGTAATAACAGATTTTAATAAGGATATTTTAGGGTAAATAGTTATTGAGTCTGTTTATCTCAATTTAATTTTTACTTAAAGTCTTTGGTGCTTTTTTTATGATGAATACTATGTTAACATGCAGCAAATTATCTATAGATTTGATAACTTACTTTTTCACAAAAATAAAATAATGTAATTTACAGCTTTATTTTTTGAGAAAAATTGATGCTATTTTTATCGAAACCAAAAGTACTGCCTAGTACCTAGTACCACTTTTTAAGACAGTAATACAGTACCAGTACCAGTAGTAGCAAAATTTTGTAAGAGTAATTCAGTATCAGTACCAGTACTTGCAAAATCGCTGCAGTACATACTGCAGTACCAGTACCAGTACCAGTAATGCAGCTCTGACAGTGACCTAAAAAATGACCTTGACCATCAATTGATTAAATTTTGATTATATTTTTCTTAACTTTGTCATTTTTTCTTAACTTGGTCATTTTTTAAAATCATTTTTAAAGATTTTTATAAACCTTTGATTTGTTTGCTTTTTGAAATGTGGTTAAGATAAATTTTCCTTGCATACGAGACAGGAGTTTTTAGTGTTTAAACAGGTAGTGCACCACAAATATCTTACACTGAGTTTGGAACAAACTTGGATATTTTGCAATTAGCCCCATGGTAACTAAATAAAGTGTGAACAAGACAATGTCGAGTTCCAGCCATAAGATGCCTTACAAATGTATGATACCCGAAAGACGAATATTCCTATCAGTTGCAATTATATTAACACTAAGTATTTGGCCTTTCTTCTTGAATGATACTTAAATCATGTTTCAGATAGGAACATTTCTATTTCGATATTTAACTTGGAGTAATTTTTGTGCCCCAACGTTAGTGGCGGGCATTTAGATTTACCCTTGTCCGTCCGTCCTTCCGTCCGTCCGTCCGTTCACTTTTTAGTCGCACGTAACTCAAAAAGTATTTGACCTAGAGTCATGAAACTTTACAGGAATGTTGATCAGCATGTGTAGTTGTGCACCTGGGTATTTTTTTGTGGATATTTTTAGTATTTTCAGAGTTATTGCCCTTGACTTAGTAAAATTTTGCAATTTTCAACTTGTGTCGCATGTTACTCAAAAAGTATTTGACCTAGAGTCATGAAACTTTACAGGAATGTTGATCAGCATGTGTTGTTGTGCACCTGGGTATTTTCGTCTGGATATTTTTAGTATTTTCAGAGTTATTGCCCTTGACTTAGTAAAATTTTTGCAATTTTCAACATGTGTGGCATGTAACTCAAAAAGTATTTGATTTAGAGTCATGAAACTTTACAGGAATGTTGATCAGCATGTGTAGTTGTGCACTGGGTATTTTCGTCTGGATATTTTAAGTATTTTCAGAGTTATTGCCCTTCACTTAGTAGAATTTTGCAATTTTCAAGATGTGTTGCACGTAACTCAAAAAGTATTTGACCTAGAGTCATGTAACTGTACAGGAATATTGATCAGCATGTGCAGTTGTGCACCAGGTTTTTTCGTCTGGATTTATTTAGTATTTTAAAAGTTATTGCCCTTCACTTAGAAAATTTTTGCAATTTTCAACTTGTGTCGCAAGTTTCTCAAAAAGGATTTGACATAGTCAATAAACCTTATGGGTAGGTTGCTCAGCATATTTTAGATTTGCACCTGGGGTTTCGCTTGTGGATTTATCCAGTATTTGTAGAGTTATTTCCCTTGACTTAGTAAAAAGATTGACAGAACAGTGTCGCGGTGGGGGCACCCGTGTCCTATGGACACATTTCTAGTTTTATCTAAGAATGCAATATTCAATAATTAAAGGCGTCATACTTGTGTTGTTTTAAAGCGAGCATATAGAATTAGACTGTTTGATTAGCACTTAAAAATCCTCTGCAAACTCTTACTTAACTTTTATGTGCAATTTAAATGTCTGAACTATTTTGCTATATAATATAATACCCTTGCACACCTACAAGTTGTGCAGACTTAACAATTTGACCTGAGGGAATTTATTGACCATTTAATTGTACTCAGAGAGCCAGATATTCCTCTCAGTTATGTCACAGACAATGCATATTTCATGTTCCTGGATTCAATATTATACTTATAATGGACAGGAATGACATTTTCTTATGACTACGCATGGAATTAGAACTTATTTCTAATAGCTAAAATGAGGTCATCTCAAGAAAACAGTTTATTCTTAAAATGCTTGACACCATTTTCAAGCATGCAACAGATCTTCTCCTATATTGAGCAAACATTCATCTAACATGTGGGAAAGGGACAAAATGATTTTGGGGTCAAGGTCACATTGACCTTGTAGGTAAAAACGGTTTCCGATCAATAACTAAAGAACCCTTAGTCCTAGGGACTTCAAACTTGATATGGTGATTGGTCATGATCAGTAGATGACCCCTATTGATTTTAGGGTCAAGGGGTCAAAGGTCAAGGTCACATTGACCTTGTAGGTAAAAACGGTTTCCGATCAATAACTTAAGAACCCTTAGGCCTAGGAACTTTAAGCTTTGAATGGTGATTGGTCATGACCAGCAGATGACCCCTATTGATTTTGGGGTCAAGGGGTACTGGATTTGCTTTGTCCAGAATTTAGCCTTAAATGTAATGGATTTGCTATAGGATATATAGTACGAAAATTCGACAGTGGGCCGTCTCCTGAGGAATATGCTAGCTCAAGCTTATACAATCACACTTATGCCAATGGAAAACTAAAAATTTCATGATTACAATTTTAATATGTTTAGTGCATTGATAGAAAATATAAAATTATTCAACATACATATATATTATTGCTGCAGGAGTGGTTTTGTCCGCCCTGTTATTTTCAAGGGAGAGCTTTTGTCCGCCTTGTGATTTTAGACAGGAGGGCTTTTGCCCGAGAGGGCTATTGTCCACCTCTCCTTACATGTAAATAAAATAAGTTGCTTTTTTTTTGAGGACTAAATTATGGCTTCTTTTATGAAGGAGTTGCGTGCTTAGGGTGATGCCCAGTTTTGAGAAAGCTATAAATTGAAACATCAGCAAAAAGTTTTAAATTAGCATGTTTGTTTATTATTTAATTACTCTAACGATTTAAATTAACAAATCCATATGCATTTCTTAGTAAGATGAATATCCTCATACCTGTACATTGTACAATTAAAGCAACTTTAATACTCTGTGTGTCTGAAGAAATATAAAATGTTAAAATTTGTTAATATAAGGTGAATTTTACAAGTGAATTATGTGATGATTTCTTTAATTCCAGGTCTAACTTTCAGCAAGGAAATAAAAGCTGACATGATGGACAGTAAAGACACATTTTGTGAGAAGTTAATATCACCTGATTTGCAAAAAAGTGGTGTTCAAAGAAATAAGATGCTCAGCCTATGTAAAATGACCCATAGATGTTATATATGTGATAAAACATTTACTCAACAAAGTTCCCTGAAAACACATATGACAATACATACTGGCGAGAAGAATCATGTATGTAAAATTTGTGATAAAGCATTTTCTCAACAAAGATCCCTGAAAGCACATATGACAATTCATACTGGTGAGAAGAATCATGTATGTAAAATTTGTGATAAAGCATTTTCTCAACGAAGTAATTTGAAAAGACATATGACAATTCATACTGGCAAGAAAGATCATGTATGTAAAATTTGTGATAAAACATTAACTCGACAAAGTTACCTGAAAACACATATGACAATTCATACTGGCGAGAAGAATCATGTATGTAAAATTTGTGATAAAGCATTTTCTCAACAACAAAATCTTACAATACATATGTCAACACATACTGGCGAGAAGAATCATATATGTAACATATGTGATAAATCATTTTCTCAACGAGCTTCTTTGAACAAGCATATGACAATACATACTGGCGAGAAAAATCATAAGTGTGGAATATGTGACATAACATTTTCTCAACGAAGTAATTTGATAACGCATATGAAAATACATACTGGCGAGAAAAATCATAAATGTAAAATATGTGTTAAAGCATTTTCTTATCAAAGTAGTTTGATTAGACATATGACAATACATACTGGCGATAAGAATCATAAATGTGGAATATGTGACAGAACATTTTCTCAACGATGTCATTTGATTACGCATATGACAATACACACTGGTGAGAAGAATCATAAATGTAAAACATGTGATAAAGCATTTTCTCATCTAAGTAATTTAATAACGCATATGAAAATACATACTGGCGAGAAAAATCATAAATGTAAAATATGTGTTAAAGCATTTTCTCAAAAAATTAATTTAATTAGACATATGACAATACACACTGGAGAGAATTAGCATTTATGCAATTTTTGTGATAAAGCATTTTTTAACCGGTATTCTCTGAAAACACATATGGCAATACATACTGTAGAAAAGAGTTGTGAAAAAGTTTCAAGTGTGTGAAAAAACATTTTCTCACCAAAGTGCATTGAACCTTCATATGAAAATACCCTATGACGATATGAAGATATGAAACGTAAGTTTGAAGAGTGTGATAAAACGTTTTCTCAAGAAATTCATTTTATCACACTTATGACAATACACACTGGTGATGAGAAACAGAAGTTTGAAGTGTGTTTAAGCGTTTTCTTAACAAATTCATCTTATCACACTTCTGACAATACTGATAAGATGATTTTATTAAATTTAAAAATATAAAAACCTTTTTTTCTTAAGGTATGCTGCATAAAAGAATGGGCAGAACTTTAAGTTTACTTTTCGTAAGTTAATTTTTCACAGAGTTCTCCAAGAAAGTCTGCTCTTCAATGATTACAGTCAGTTCATAAAAACGATTGTAACATGTGGAAATGAAATATTGATGGAGCTTAGATAATATCCCGGCTACTTGTTTTATAATACATGGACTCTATAAACGACAGCGACTGATTTGTGCCATTGCTATTCATGTTAAAACCATCCAAGACCAAAGTATTTAAATAGGAATCAGCCCACAGTTATTTGCCTTTCGTTGGCCCCAATCATAAAGTACATCCGCATAAAAGAGTGCCTGTGTTTAATGCCAAATATAAATGAAAAATAGAACGAGTGAGATTGGAAAAGGACATTTTCTGACAGAGTTCATTACAAATAGCTGGTAAATGTTCCTCTAAGTAACACGTGATATCGTGGAAATGTTTTAACTAATATGAAGTGAACTTTAGATCTGGTCATGCAGATAATATTTTGTTTTTACATTTTATATTAATTTTAGTTTATGGTAAATATATTGTCCAAAAATGAATAAACTGTGTTTGTCATTCCTGTGTTTCTCATACAACATGCTTTACTCACACTTATATCATAGGCCACTTGGTTTCGGGATTAAAAAGTTTTTAAAACCCTTTTTGAGAAGTCTATAGAACTCAAATTGAATATAACCATTTTTTGACGTTGAAGTATTCTAAAACCGTCATTTTCCCTATCTAACTAAAAATGGAAAAATGACATTTTTGTGTCGCCTCTATGGAGTTAAAAGTGGCGACATATAGGGATCACTTCTCCGTCGTCTATATGTCTGTCTGTCTGTCCGTCCGTCACAAAACTTGCCAGAAAATACATACATGTAAATGTAAATTATGTGATAAAACATTTTCTTATCGAAGTAATTTGATCACACATATGACAATACACACTGGCGAGAAGAATCTTAAATGTGGAATATGTGACAAAACATTTTCTCAACGATGTCATTTGATCAGGCATAAGACAACACATACTGGTGAGAAGAATCATTAATGTAAAATATGTGATAAAGCATTTTCTCATCGAAGTAATTTGATAACGCATATGACAATACACACTGGCGAGAATAATCATAAATATGGAATATGTGACAAAACATTTTCTCAACGATGTCATTTGATCAGGCATAAGACAACACATACTGGCGAGAAAAATCATAAATGTTAAATATGTGTTAAAGCATTTTCTCAAAAAAGTCATTTAATTAGACATATGACAATTTTATGGGAAACGGACAAAAGCCCTCCCGGACAAAAGCTCTAGCTGCCGTCCAAAAATGACAATGCGGACAAAAAGCCCTCCCGTGAAAATGACAGGGCGGACAAAAGCCCTCCTGTGGAAATGACTGGGCGGACAAAAGCCCTCCTGTGGAAATGACTGGGTGGACAAAAGCCCTCCCATAACAAAAAATATATGTATGTTAAATACCTGTGTTATTTTTCCAATGCACTCAACAATTTAAAGCTTTAAAATATTAATTTGTTGTTGTTGTTTTCAATTGGCCTAAGTATGTGTATGAGCTAGAACCACCTTTCATTCTGAATATACTTTTCTGAAATGTTTAACAAGGTAATTGACTCATTACAAGGCACGTTGTAAATGTCTTTGTTATAGTTAAAAAATTTAGTTAAATTAAACTTCTTTTCATCATTTATTACTCTATTAATCTTAACTGCACATAATATTTACGTGAATAAATATGTATTAACAGACTTTAGCATTATTATTCCGATGCCCGTCAGGAATGTGCTCAAGATTATACAAACATGCTTAAGCCAATGGAAAACAATAATATTCATGATTACAATTTTAATATGTTGAGTGCATTGAAAAGAAAATACAAACTATTCAACGCACATGTACATATATGTGTTTGCTGCGGGAGGGCTTTTGTCCGCCCTGTCATTTTATGGGAGGGCTTTTGTCCGCCCTGTAATTTTAACGGGAGGGCTTTTGTCCGCCATGTCATTTTAGGACGGGAGGGCTTTTGTAAGGGAGGGCTTTTGTCCTACAATTCCACACTGGCGAGAATAAGCATTTATGCAATTTTTGTGATAAAGCATTTTCGAACCGATATTCTCTGATAACACATATTGCAATACATACTGTAGAAAAGAGTTGTGAAAAAGTTTCAAGTGTGTGAAAAAAACATTTTCTCACCAAAGTGCATTGAACCTTCATATGAAAATACCCTCTGGCGATATGAAACGTAAGTTTGAAGAGGATGATTAAATGTTTTCTCAAGAAATTCATTTTATCACACTTATGACAATCTGGGACATAATCTTATGTCCCAGTGACAATGCACACTGGCGATGAGAAACAGAAGTTTAATTGCAGTGTTTTAGCGTTTTCTTAACAAATTCATCTTAATTATCAAACCTCTGACAATACTGATAAGATGATTTTATCATTTAAATATAAAAACCTTTTTACTTAAGGTATGCTGCCTAAAAGAATAGGCAGAACTTTAAGTTTACTTTTCGTGGTCAATTTTTCACAGGATTCTCCAAGAAAGTCGAGATCTGCTCTTCAATGATTACAGTCAGTCACGGATTTATATAACTATATGATGTAATATAAATCCGTGAGTCAGTTCATAAAAACGATTGTAACATGTGTCAATTTGGAAATGAAATATAGACGGAGCTTAGATAATATCCCGGCTACTTGTTTTATAATACATGTACTCTATAATACACAGCGACTGATTTGTGCCATTGCTATCATGTTCAAACGATAGTTGGTAAATGTTCATATTGGTAACACGTGATATCGTGAAAATGTTTTAACTAATATGAAGTGAACTTTAGATCTGGTCCTGCAGATAATACTTTGTTTTTACACTTAATATTGATTTTAGTGTATGGTAAATATATCGTCCAAAAATGAATAAACTATGTTTGTCATTCCTGTGTTTCTCATACAACATGCTTTACTCACACTTATATCATAGGCCACTTGGTTTCGGGATTAAAAAACCCTTTTTGAGAGGTTTATACTTGAGCTCAAATTCTATTGAATGTAACGATTTTTTTAACGTTGAAGTATTCTAAAACCGTCATTTTTCCTATCTAACTAAAAATGGAAAAATGACGTTTTAGTGTCGCCTCTACGGAGTAGTGGCGACATATAGGGATCACTTCTCCTTCATCTGTCTGTCCGTCCGTCACAAAACTTGTCCGGACTACTTCTCATAAACTACTGGTGCAATTTCATCCAAACTATTTGTTATTCTACAAGTGAAGTCAGTTTTGAACATACATGAGTATAATATAACATTTTATCACATACCCGAAATAAAATCCAAACCTCCAAAAAGATACATTTATTATATACTTACAAATGAAATATTGAGAAATATTGATGAAATAAAATGCGTATTTTCATTTTCCGTATTTTCACTGTAAAAATTTATTTTTCACTGCAGTGAAACATATTTTCCGTATTTTCACTGGTGTCTTGCCGGACTACTTTTTTTAAAATTCTGCCAGTACACAAAATTTAAGGGAAAGTCTTTCAAATTTTAATGTCAAAAAAGAGAAAAATGTATATAATAAACAGAAAATTCAAGTTTTGTATATAAATACATGATTTATTTTCATCTTGTGGCATGAAAATTACCATATTTCACTCGTGGCTACCGCCACTCATGAAATATTTATTTTCATTCCACTCGATAAAAATAAATCATGTATTTATAGACAAAACTTGAATATCCTCTATTTATTTATACTTCATGGTACGTGACCTCTAAATTCTTGCACAGTTACTCCCCTTTGGTAAATGATCGTCATTGACCCTGCACTAAATTATCGTAAAACAGTTCAACTTCAACGGGGTTTCTCGACACAATCAACGAAGTAGACATCGACGTTCGTTGAATCTAACACGGATCCTTGGTTCTAATAATAATATCAGGTAAAAGAACGTTTCATATTTATAGATTTAGTTTCATTTGAAAGGTCTACAAGCCTTTGAAGAAAATAACATATTGAATTTGAAGATCCGATACATTAGATTGTAACGGTACAGTTTGTGTGTGTGTGTGGGGGGGGGGGGGGGTCCCGGGATATAAGCGTGATACGATCACCGATTTATGAAACAGATTATTGCCTTGCACAAAAAATTTCGTTTAACAGTTTTTACTCATAGAAATAATAGGTAAAAATTTATAGGTTTAGTTTCATTTGATAGAAACATATTATTTTTCTGTGAGAGTATAAACATTATTCATGAATTCAAAAACCTAGCTAAACGCCGTTTGTAGAAGCTCTGGGGTATTTTGTTTTTGGCCTTTTTGGTTTAATATGAAATAAATCAATTATTTTTTGTAAAAAAAAATAAATGAAATATCATTGTATCAACAGGAACAGGCTAAAACGCAGACGCTTATTCAGACAATAAAGGATATATAGTAAAACGCAGACAATATGAAACATATAGTAAAATGCAGACACTATAGATATAATAGAGAACATATTTGTTTAAGATAAAATTCATTTTGTAAAATGCAGACACTTTGGATATATAGTACAACTTTTGATAAATGCAGACAATATGTAGCAATATAGTAAAACGCAGACAATATAGATATATAGTAAATGCAGACAATATGAAAGATATAGCTAAAATGCAGACACTATAGATATAAAAGAGAACATATTTGTTTAAGATTAAATTCACTTTGTAAAATTGCAGACACTATAGCTATTATAGTACAACTTTTGATAAAATGCATACAATATGAAACATATAAATAAAACGCAGACAATATAGATATTTACATTGTATAGTAAAAATGCAGACAGCTATAGATATATAGTACAACTTTGATAAATGCGACAATATGAAACATATAGTAAAAAACGCATTGAGTGAGACAATATAGATATAAAGTACAGTATAGTAGAAGACAGCCCAAAAAGCATTAGCCATTAATTACTTTTCTTGTCCACATTTCTTTTATGTTACAAATTATGCAAAGCAGCTAGTATTAAATATTTTATTTCACATTAATCATTAATTAAAATCTAACATAAATAAAAAAACCTTTTCTTATATCACTATTTATTTATTTATTGTTGATATTATGATAACTAATTAAAACATTTAAAATAAAAAACAGTTTCTAATCTCTAATTTAAAAGTTATTGATTTATATCAAATAATAATTCTTCATAAATCTCTTATTTTAAAAAGTTAATCTGAAAAAAAAAAGTGGTGACAAGCTGTTAGAGTCTAATTCACATCTTCTATATCTATATTGGTCTGCGTTTTACTATTATTCTATATTGTCTGCATAAGCGTCTGCGTTTTTAGACCGGCCCGTATCAACAATAACATCGAAAAAAATGTAGATTTACAGAAGTTTGGTTTATTTTTTACATAAATTTAATATCATTTGTGGCTTATATCATTTGCAATAAACATTTTTGTCCTTTTTGCAATTTTTTTGTATTTTTCAAGTTTTGTCTTTTTCATCTCTGAAGGGGAA